TGAGGAGTTCTTGGACCTTTGTCATTGTGTGTTCTGTAATAACACCCTTAAGAGCTGCTTTTGGAGTGAGCTCGACGGCCAGCTACTATTGATGATCGATTAGGCGCTGTGGCTTCTTCCATGACGGTGGGGGTGATCAAAGAGGACTTTGTCATCACCACCAGCATGCCCACTCCTCGAGTTCCAGGACCCATCCATCTAGAGGCCGTCCCAATACAAACACCCAGCTCACCATGGGCCAAGAGCCAAAGCCCACCAGAGACCTACAGCCAGAGCCAAAGCCCACTAGAGACCTAGAGCCAGAGCCAAAGCCCACCGTGAATCCAGAGCCTGAGCCCACGCCCGCCATGGACCTTCCAGCGGAGGAAGTAGTCTTTCGGGAGCTAGAGCTAGAAGCCGTTGTCGCTGAGCGACAGATGCGCTTGAGAGCGCCGCAAACTACTGTGCACATGAATGTACACAGGGACTGCAACGCCAAGATTTTCACTTAATAAATTACATTTTCCGTTTGTTTCTCTCCAAACTCTACCTTCAGAACACTTGGGATATACAGCACGGGTTGCATGGGATTATTTATGACTCATTTGCATCCGCAATTGCAACTTAATTAAATGTCACCATTCTCTGACATTAAATGGGCAAGTGTGAGCAGAAGTAGACTATTGGGTAATGTACGGGAGCAGATGCGAGGTACATTCATATTTCTAAAATAAACACCTATATTACCCTATTTCTCTGGTACTTGTAGTTAGCCATAGTGAACCTATGTCTACACAGAAGAAAGCCCTGTCTAGGCACAGTAGAGTTTGTGTAAAACCATTCGTTAGTCTGGTTCTTCAGTGAGAAAGAGATTAAATGTAGTTGCAATAAATGGTTTAAGAACCGTAAAACTGTAGCAGCGGATGACTATCATTCTGTTGCATGTAACTGAGAAACAACTGATGATGGCACGGTTTGATCATCAGCGAATGATCCTGTCGTTTCATTCCTGCCTACATATAGAGATTGAATATTCAAGCTTATTATTATATTATTTCAAGTTTATTAATTTTTCTAACCTTGAACAGCTTTTTTGTTTTTTAATAAAAAAAAAAATGAAAAAGGCAGCATTTTCAAAATTTTCTACTTGTTTAAAGCTGCAGTCCGGCGTTTTTCCTCTTTGTCTCCATCTCTGTTCGAAATCTGCAATTGCAGTAATTCGTGGAATTATCAACCTTACGTGAGTTGTACTTCAACACCCTCGACACGGCAAAGCGCGGATGAACACAATGTTTGAGGAGACTGTGAGGCTGTCAGTCACCGCGCCAGTGTGGATACTGGCATTCTGAATCAGATTATTCTTTTTGGAAATATGACCAACATAAGAATTTTCACTGAACTAGTAAGAAACATCCACTTTTGTTCTGGTTCTGACATTGCAGTAAATCGCGCTGATTAAATCTAACAATCGCTTATAAGTTATCATATCACGCAAAACCGTGCAAATTATACTTTGTTCTCAAATTGTTAATGTTAACAACGTAAGCATTGCGTGACTGCATGTAATGTCCTTCCAATATGTATCCTTGTTTTCGCATGGGCCGGTTGCAGTCTCTTTTTTTCTGTAGCCACTCCGAAGTCCAAGTGAAGTCTTTTGCATTTTACAGCGGGTGAATCTCCCACGGAATCTCCCACGGAAATCCACCAGTACCACTGGAATTAAAAACATTATTACAAGCTTACCGTTTTGAATCGAGCTAAGGCAAGCAGATAGTTTTGAACACTGGCTTATGTATTTTCTCAAATATGTATTTTGGATAATTTTTAACCCCAAAAAGGCTACGGACTGCAGCTTTAAGTACTACTTATCATTCATTTTTCAAAAAAAAAAAAAAAAAAAAGCGTGATACACAGATTCAAACTGGATTTTTTTCCTGTTAAAAATGGTAGCACGCAAGAAGTTTGTGATCTTACATTATTTCCTGTATCACTTCTCCCAGGTGTTTGGTTGTGAAATGTAGATTGTAGACCAGACAGAGTTGTCAGCGATTCTTCCTATTGAAATGTTGTTTAATGTGTGACCCCCTGCTGCCTATTCGTCATGTAATGTGCACACAACAGTTAAATGGTACAGTGTAGTGTAGTGTGAGAAGATTTTGAAAATTGTGCTGTGTGTAGCCGGCCTTAGACTGTAACATTCATCATATTACAGTGTAAAAACCTTAATTGCTTTTATATTGTATTATGTTTTATATTATATTATAGAAAAAACACCCTTGCTTCATATGACATATAGATGCAATGAAAGGTTGCCTATCTGCCTATCTATTTAATATTTTAACATGTTTCACTCAATTTCACACATTTTAAGTTGGACAATATAGTTTGGGAAAAGCCTAACTAGTAAAATGTGTACAAGTTTATGTCAAAATAACATGTTAACTAATATAAGTAAGAATAAGTTGCTTCTGATATTATGTATCATGCTGCATGTCACATCGGGTTCTACTACTGGGGTAAATTCAAGGCTTATTCCTCAATGTCTTTTCATCCAAAAACAATTAAAAGTAGATGAACCTGATGAAGCTTGATGTTTTGATTATTGAGGTGATGGAGCTTTTACATGTTCGCCTGGCTCACACAGATGATTAGCGAATGAATAGCCTGCGCTGCACGTGGGTGTAAACATTACAGATTTCAACATTTGTCTATAGACATATTTCTCATGTCTGTGTGGCAAGTATTCACTTGTGCCATATTCCAAAAAGAAGTTCACGGAGACAGATGGCTGAGAAAGCTGTTTGACGTCTTTATTTTGCAAAAGCACAAAGTTCAGTTGTTATTGTATACACAAATAAAAGTACAGACCATTTTGAATGATGTTTTTCTTGTCTGTATGACCAAAAATGACAGAGTATTTTAAGTTCTTTCCACTGTTATCAGGGAAAAAAGTAGCTGTAGTTTGATAATAGCAGTCTAACTTTCATATAGCTTAGATATATATATATATACAGGTCCTTCTCAAAAAATTAGCATATTGTGATAAAGTTCATTATTTTCCATAATGTAATGATAAAAATTAAACTTTCATATATTTTAGATTCATTGCACACCAACTGAAATATTTCAGGTCTTTTATTGTTTTAATACTGATGATTTTGGCATACAGCTCATGAAAACCCAAAATTCCTGTCTCAAAAAATTAGCATATCATGAAAAGGGTCTCTAAACAAGCTATTAACCGAATCATCTGAATCAACTAATTAACTCTAAACACCTGCAAAAGATTCCTGAGGCTTTTAAAAACTCCCAGCCTGTTTCATTACTCAAAACCGCAATCATGGGTAAGACTGCCGACCTGACTGCTGTCCAGAAGGCCATCATTGACACCCTCAAGCAAGAGGGTAAGACAGAAAGAAATTTCTGAACAAATAGGCTGTTCCCAGAGTGCTGTATCAAGTCACCTCAGTGGGAAGTCTGTGGGAAGGAAAAAGTGTGGCAAAAAACGCTGCACAACGAGAAGAGGTGACCGGACCCTGAGGAAGATTGTGGAGAAGGACCGATTCCAGACCTTGGGGGACCTGCGGAAGCAGTGGACTGAGTCTGGAGTAGAAACATCCAGAGCCACCGTGCACAGGCGTGTGCAGGAAATGGGCTACAGGTGCCGCATTCCCCAGGTCAAGCCACTTTTGAACCAGAAACAGCGGCAGAAGCGCCTGACCTGGGCTACAGAGAAGCAGCACTGGACTGTTGCTCAGTTTTGCATGTCATTCGGAAATCAAGGTGCCAGAGTCTGGAGGAAGACTGGGGAGAAGGAAATGCCAAAATGCCTGAAGTCCAGTGTCAAGTACCCACAGTCAGTGATGGTCTGGGGTGCCATGTTAGCTGCTGGTGTTGGTGCACTGTGTTTTATCAAGGGCAGGGTCAATGCAGCTAGCTATCAGGAGATTTTGGAGCACTTCATGCTTCCATCTGCTGAAAAGCTTTATGGAGATGAAGATTTCATTTTTCAGCACGACCTGGCACCTGCTCACAGTGCCAAAACCACTGGTAAATGGTTTACTGACCATGGTATTACTGTGCTCAATTGGCCTGCCAGCTCTCCTGACCTGAACCCCATAGAGAATCTGTGGGATATTGTGAAGAGAAAGTTGAGACACGCAAGACCCAACACTCTGGATGAGCTTAAGGCCGCTATCGAAGCATCCTGGGCCTCCATAACACCTCAGCAGTGCCACAGGCTGATTGCCTCCATGCCACGCCGCATTGAAGCAGTCATTTCTGCAAAAGGATTCCCGACCAAGTATTGACTATTGAGTGCATAACTGAACATAATTATTTGAAGGTTGACTTTTTTTTTTTGTATTAAAAACACTTCTTTTATTGGTCGGATGAAATATGCTAATTTTTTGAGACAGGAATTTTGGGTTTTCATGAGCTGTATGCCAAAATCATCAGTATTAAAACAATAAAAGACCTGAAATATTTCAGTTGGTGTGCACTGAATCTAAAATATCTGAAAGTTTAATTTTTATCATTACATTATGGAAAATAATGAACTTTATCACAATATGCTAATTTTTTGAGAAGGACCTGTATATGTATATATTTATAGCTATTCATATTGCTGACTATAGTCAGGAGTCACTTGAAATTAATTGTTTGAATAATTTAACGAACATATCCACCATTTGAAAACTGGATCAACAAAATATCCTAAAACCCTGCTGTATAAAAGAAAGTGTCAAGTCTATAATGATGCTCAAATTGAATATCCTAATACCTACATGTCTACCCCTGCATATGCCAGAAGTTGTGGGTCATCTCTGTTACCTTCTCTGTTTGACTCCGTTGAAATTCAGAGTGTTCTTTTGCATGTTTATGCTTTAGATATTTTGCATTATCATAGAATGCATGCAACAGTCAGAATGTTTAAAAGCTTTAATTAATGTTACATCTTTTTTTCTTTTTTAGAATCTAAGATCAGATAAGATTATTCATAATTTACATTTTTATTAAAGGAATCTTCGAGAACGTTCCCCCAGCCCTGGACAGAATCCTTCCACCCCCCAGTCCACAGACAGCCAAGCAGCTCTGAGCGAAACATCCTGTGTCCCTGTCATTATGGCAACACCGCCTAAGCGCAGACGCTGTGGCTACCTGGATTCCGATGCCACACAATCCTTGCGTCGTTCAACGCGCAATACATCCGGAGGGGATCGGGCAGCAGAAGCTGGGGGTGGAGGCAGCAGCAATGCCTCTCCGCAACCAAAGCGAAGGCTTACTGAGGTGCAAACTCCACTACCCAAGTTCTTCCTCAACCTAGAGAAGAGTGAGTCACACTTTCTGTGTCCGGTTTCATTTCTTAGCTGTAACTCTGTGCGCAATTTTAAGTTATTTCCAATTAAACTAATGTAACCTGGTGCGTTAAGAAAGTAAAAAAAAAAAAAAGTGCCTGATGCAGATACGTTGGATGGGTTTATTATAAGTAAGACGCTCGCGTTCGCTCTAGACAGTGTTAGCTACTTAGTTGCTTACTCTCATGACACATAGCAACACAGCTTAAAGTATTCTTAATATGTTGGACCTTTTATTGAATGACACTTACATTTACCTGTTGAGACCAGGGTCGCATTAACGCAGGCTTCCATGGGCACAGGCCCAGGGGCCAAGTTACTGGCTGCACAAAAATGATAGTTTTCAAATAATTATTTGTAAATATGGGAGTTTGCAGGAGTGACAACAGCATTCTATATATAAAAAAAAGTATAATATAATAAATAAGTAAAATATAATTCTAATAAATAAAAATATATGTATTCTTTAAAAAACAAGTTGAAATAATGTTAACAAACTTATAGACTATCGATTAACAATGATACAATAGTTACAGTAGGTCTACTTCCATTAGGTCTGTCTTTAACAGTTTTTAAGTTTTCGTAAAAAATAAATTTAATTAACAATTACCCTTGCACACCTGCAGGTAATAGATAGGTCTGTAGGAGAAAAGACCAAAAAGCCAGTCTAAAATCAAAAAAGAAAAAGTCCCGCACACTATCAGTACTTGCAAAAGTATCAAAATTGAGACAATTTTAATTTTTTGAGACAATGCAAAACACACAAACACATCCCTATCTCCATAATTCTAGTTTTGACTTCTAAAGTTTTAAAATTTAACTTGCATTGCATATAATGTGTGCTGGTCAACTAGTCTAAAATTAAGAAATCCCTAGAAAACAGTAAAAAACAACAACAAATAGATGTGTACATTTAAGATAGTGCTACTTAATTTATTATTCCATGGCAATATCCAAATATGATAGTAAATCCCACAGGAAAAAAGGGCTTTAGTTTGTGATGTGCTGTCTTTGCATTTGAACATTGCACATTTTAAACAGGACACGCATTAGCTGAATAAACGTTATATACATACTTATAGAAAACAGTTGACAATGAATAGACAGGAGTCCTGTCACAGGGCCAATAATAGCAAAACGAATCACTTTAGACGAATCCGACATGGGGCTGTGTTAATAGTAAAACGTCCGTCATTTAACGAATTTTAAAAACACGGATGGATAATACAAAAATGCTTTCTGACATTTTGACAGAAAAAAACACAACCAAGAACAAAATTTAAACTTTGCCCGTCAATTTTGATTTTACAATTATCTTCTCTCTGTGTGCGTGCGTCAGTGTTTGAGCTTGCGCAGTTCTGATACAATGGTACTTTTTAATCCATAAGTAACTAACGCGCTAGTTCATACAAAATAAATATGTAACATAATTAGGTAGCCTACTTTAGTTATTTTTAACACAATAACGTAACATGCAGGCTACGTTTCTCAACACTGAGAATTAGCTAATAAATAAACGCCTGTTTCTCCAGACTCGCGCTTCAGTAATCCACAAATCACAGAACTTTCATAATCACTAAGCCATAGCGATTTATTGTTCAGTATTACTTAAGCATTTTATAATTCGCATGGCTGAATGATGTTTTCTAGCCTGGCTAACGCCAGACCACGTATCATTGAGAATTCTCGTATTTGAGGCGTGGTTTACGAATGCCCAGAGCCGTTTATTGGGTGCTACGAATGTCTATCAAATGCGCCTGTACGTAGCTCATAGCCAATCATTTCAATTATACCAGATGACGTATGTAGAGTGACAGAAATTCGACGAGGAAGACGACGATGGGTCAGAGATTTATGTGTACACGAAACTACCATGAAACTACTTAGAACACTATCTAATTAAGGCTGCATCGAAAGGTAACTTTGCGTCTCCTGCCATGTTGGATCCATAGATATAAACAAACTGCTTCAGTGTGTCGTCATCGTCTTGCTGCTCCCTCCCCGTTCTGTGATTGGTTCCCTAGATGAGGCGAAAATCTGGACCATGGTATCCATACTGCCTTGCAGCGTGAATAAAATCGCGCTGCGCAAAGGCAGTATGGGGAAACCCAGGCTAGATGTTTTCCCCTTATCTGAGTGACCATGAATGACAGACTATTTTAAGACAACCCATGCGATTGCGATCACTCACGTGTGATCATCGAATCCAGATTAAGTTAACTAAAAACAATATTTCAACTTTCCACATCCACCCCAGCCCGTTTACCTTCAGGAGTCAGAAGTACTGTGACTACTGTCCTCGCTTATGAACTCAGTCAGACGGCGCGCCGTGGGAGTGGAAGCGGGATCGAGCGGGATTCTTTATTGCTGTCGATTTTCAGTCTCTTTTTAATGATAGGCCTTAAGCATCTGTCAATCATACCCGCTTGCTATTTGGGGAATGAACCCAGCGCTATGATTGGTCGAATTTTTCTGTTGCTTGATTTGAGGACTGCGCGTGCACAGAAGCATCACCAGATTTTTGCGTAGTTTAGAGTGACAAATCGTACCAACGTACTTTGAGGTCAAAATGCGTATCCGCTACACAAAATGCGTACGGGTTGGCAGGTCTGCAACTGTCACCCAACCAAAATCTCTTACACACACACACACACACACACACACACACACACACACACACACACACACACAGTTTAAAAGCAAAAAATATTTATCCAACCTCATTTAAAAACAGTCTGTCGTTGCCATCTTTTGGACATTCATCATATTGCATTGGTTTTCATTTCTTGTCCTCGAACAGAGTAAGGGGAGGCTACGACCTGGAGTCGGCAGATATACGCCCCTGGCAGTTTTACGCCCCTGACAGTTTTACGCCCCTGTTGTTCCTGGTGCGTCCAGTAGGGGGAAGCTGTACAGTGACACGAATTGAGTTATGTTAAATAATCTTTTTTTTAATTAATTAATTAATTAATTAATTAATTAATTAATTTTGTATTGCAAATGAAAGGATACAAGACATTAACAGTGAGAAGAGAAAAAACAAAACAAAAAACAAACAAGGGGGACATCAGAAGAGATTGAACAAGGCTACACAAATCAATACAATTTTACATTTTGTCAATATAAAAAATGAAAGGTTCTTTACAACAGACTCAATGATATTATTTATTTTAGAAACCTTTGAGTTTAAAGGTTTTGACATTTTCTTAAAAGAAGAAAAAGGGGACTTTATATCAGAGGGGAATATTCTTAAATCAGGATCATTGAATGGTTCTGTCTTTATGAAGATGAATATTGCCCAAAAGAAAAAGTAATAATACCGTATAATCAAGATTTTATCGTTAGAATGAAAATCTGACAAAAAATGATAGATTCTGTAATTTGTATGTTAAATAATCTGCTAAAGTTATTGTTGTTTAGCAATGATGCAACATTTATTATTTATAAACGATTAGCTTGGTAGGTAGATATCAATTAATTTCTATATGAATGGATGGGTCTATAATTTATTTCGAGAGACAAAAAGTTCTTGACGGTCAGGTTTATGTTCTATCTGGCTTAAACTTAGCTTACCACATGTAGGTTTAGCTGCCCCTAGTCTTCTCGACTCACTTTAAAATTCATTTTCTTTTTAATTTTCTTTTGTTGCCTGTCTTTAGCTTGCCGTGAGATGGGCTCTTCTGGTAAGACCCTGTTTACTCCTTGCATTAAAACATAGCCTACTCCACATGGTTTCTGGGGCAACATTACAGTAGATATTGGAAATATATGAACTTGTTTTTTTTACAGTCTATGGTGTGAACACACAAAAGACACATTTTGTATGTAAATCTCTCTCTCCAAGTAAAGAGTTGAACTGCACACTCACTCAAATATTTTGATTATTTCCAACATCACATGATAAAACCCACATTAAAAACTTTTCCAATATGGTTTGAATGTAAATTCTGGTTTGAGTTGTTTCTTATAAATGAAATGATCTAATTATATAATTTATATCTTAAAATACATTTTTTCTTAAAATAGCTTACTTGTCTGGACTAAAATGTAGGGTATGTGCATTTAATGTGGGTTTTATCATACTCTGTCTTTACCAAATTATTTTAAACTTGCATCTCATAAAGGTGTGTGTTTGCTTTAGCTATAAGAAAATGAAAATCTCTCTCTAAACTTATAAACACCCATCTTTTTTTTTACTACTTACAAAATAAACAACTTACAGAGACATACATCATGGACATGGTTTTAATGTCATTTTCAATTTTCTCTGCACAGTCCATCATTGGTGGCCAAAATAAATCAAAGTGGCTTGACAATTTTTCCACTATTGTTCCACCAACAAGTGCCTGTGCCGTTGTACTTTAAAGATCAGGAGCAAATTGATGCAATCCACACTCACCTGACATCAATTCTGCGCACACACACACACACAAATAAAATCACCATGGATGTCCTTTTAAAAAATAGTTAAAGAAGAGGGGCAAACCATAGGGGAGTCATCATAATTCATAAATGGTGTTAATAAAAAACTAATTGTGAACAACAATATTGTGTCTTTCTTTTAAATGGCCCTTGGAATTTTAGAAAAGGGATAAATTGTGTTTGTCTTCATAAAATGCTGTGTAGGGCACTGTTTTTTAGCTGTATGACGACCAATAGAGAATAGTACAGCTAATCAAGGATCCATATGATTACACGGTATACTGTATGTCTAATGGGCTAAATTTGATTAATATTTAAATGTAACTATAAATTCACAACAACATATTTCACTCAGTCTTCCATATAAAAACCTACGGTGAATAGGTCTATAACTGGAGTAGGTCATATACTTGCCATAAGTCAAGTCAAGTCACCTTTATTTATATAGCGCTTTTTACAATACAGATTGTATCAAAGCAGCTTTACAGTGATAACATGAAAAGAATACAACAAAGTTTGTTTCTAGAAGAAAATTGCATCAACGTCCACCTTA